TGCTTGAGCAGGCTCCTCCTCACAGCCTGCATTCCCCTCTCCTCTTTTCGTGGGCCCATGCCCCCCTTTTGTCATCTTGTTTGGCACCTGAGCCTCCCACTCTCCTTTAGTTACCCTCCCCCCACACACCGTTTCACTTCCCACATGCCTTTCAATAATTGACCCTCTCACATTCCCAGTGCAGCCGGAGGAGCCGCTCTTACCTTCCCGTGCTGGGAGCTGTACCCCTTGTTCCTTTACCTCCCCCCCTCCTCCTTTGTGCGTTGCTGCCCTCTCACCCCACTTCCAGCCTAGCGGGGGGAGTGGTGAGCCTTCCTCTCTCTCCCCCTTCCCCCTCTCCCCTGCCCCTTGCTCTACCCCCTGGCACTATTGGTCTCTCCTAATTGTCTGTCTCTGTCCGTCCCCCCCCACGTAATGGAGAGGTACTTCCCACATGCCTTTCAATAATTGACCCTCTCACATTCCCAGTGCAGCCGGAGGAGCCGCTCTTACCTTCCCGTGCTGGGAGCTGTACCCCTTGTTCCTTTACCTCCCCCCCTCCTCCTTTGTGCGTTGCTGCCCTCTCACCCCACTTCCAGCCTAGCGGGGGGAGTGGTGAGCCTTCCTCTCTCTCCCCCTTCCCCCTCTCCCCTGCCCCTTGCTCTACCCCCTGGCACTATTGGTCTCTCCTAATTGTCTGTTCCTGTCTCCCCCCGCCCCTCCATCCATGAACATAATGGAGGGGCAGTCGTGTGATGTCCCTGCCACCCCTGGCCCACCCTCCCTCACTGCCTCTATGAACCTTGATCCCTCTGAGGCTGCCGGGCCACCCGCTCATGCAGCAGAGGTGGTGGACATGGACGGGGATTCCGGGACCCCGACCGCTCCTGCCACGGTACCTTCTGCCACCAGTGTCACCACTAAGAAAGCCGCCCTGAAGGGCAGGAAGGGCCAGGGGACCAAGAAAGGCTGGAACTCCACCCGGAAGGCAAAACCCCCTGCTGCGGCCTTGGCCCCTAAGGTAGGCCCTGTCCGAGTCCCGTCTCTGACCCCGCCACCCTCTCCTCCACAGGCCCAGCCTTGCCGCTTTGGGTGGTGGCAGCAACGGCGCCCGCACGCTTATCTGGGCCTTGCAGAGCCCGAGTGGGATTGACGACGGTCACAGTTGGAGGAGGGGCGACCCCAGTGCCCTCCCAGGCATCGAGGGTCCCAAGTGCATCTCCGAGCCGGGCCAAAGGGCAGTCCCTTTGGACATGCCCCGTCGCCCGACAGAGAAAACACTGGGCCTCCCCCAAGGTGTAATGTACCCGGTACTGGGCCCCTTGATAGGGCACCAGAAATGACCCTTCGAGGGCTCCTCCACCAGGCCCCGCTGGCAGGAGTTGGATTTGCACCTGCCGGCGGAAGGAAAGAACGTGGCGGAGGGTAGGGTCCTTGCAGCCCAAAGGAAGGGGACTCAGGACTGACAAGGGCCTCCCCAGGGTGGAGAGGAAAGGTAATAGGGCGGCATTGGGGAGGAACGGAGGGCAAAACCGCCCGTACTCCCAGGTCCTCCAAAGGCTCGAGGGGAATGTGGATTCCCTGCACCGCCAAACCCTTCTCCACCGCTTCCTGGGCAGCGGCCTCCGACGCCAGGAAGAATAGCACCTTCCCGAACATCTTGGAGGCCACCACCACGGCTGTGAGCCCCACCACGTGTGCCAACGCCCGCACGTAGTTCTCCACGTGGGGTGAGGCTGACACCAGGAGGCAACGGACCCCGTGCCTCCTGGTCAGGGTGGGAAAGGGGCGATGGCTGCCGGGGATGGAATTCCAGTAAGCGGCTTCGGTGGATAGGGAGGCAGCAGGTGCAGGGGTGGTAGCCACCTGGGCATATGCTCTGGGGGCTGGGACACCGTCATCCCCAGAACTGGTGGAAGGAACAGGGGGACAGGAAAGAGGGGAAGCCACGGCAACCCTCACACCCGTCCCTGTTTTTCCTTTTATTTGTCCCAAGTAATTACTTGGTTTCCTGGGCTCAGTGGACCCTCCCCATAGGCTGGGCGGAGGTCCTTTAAATGTGGACTCCAATAGGCACCCCTGCTCTGTCACACTATCTACTCACATTTCTTGTTTTCAGGTACCGTCCTTAGTAGACATGAAAATGGCTGGACATTCCATGTCCATCTCCCAAAGTTTACTTAATCTTTCTCTAGCTTTGTAGCACTTCACAGTCCTACAACTTAGAGCTGAGTGGTCCTGGAGGCCAAGTGGATGGGCTGTACCCTACACAGGTCCAGCTGTGGCTATGCCCCTGCACCATTGACAGAGCACTCAAAGCCTCAGGCAGCTCAGAGGGGAAGAAGCCATGCTATAGCCTAGGCTGGCAATGAGGCCCAACCCCTGGGCCTGAGCTGGGAGAAGTCATCTTGCTGCAGGCAATGGGGAAGTAGCTCACATAGGGTTGTCCTTGCCATGGTTCACTAGGGAATCTCCCACGTGGATCTGGGCTCCTTTCAGTCTCTTCTCACAACACTCCTCTTCCCTGTTCTTCACAATCACCATGGAGATAGAATACCGACTGCCCAGGTCCACGTTCCACCACGGCTCTATGTCAAAAATGGTGAGGCTACAAGAGCCTTGTTTATAATTCCCATCACGTTTTCCATCCACGGCCCTTCCAGGCTCAGCATCTCCAGCATCGTCCCTGAACGTGGACGACTGAGTGGCCGGACATCCTAGCGCCAAGTTCTGAGCTGGAATCAGAGGGCGAGAAGAGGGGAGGTGGAATGTGCCCATTGCCGGAAAGGGTGGGGCTCTATGAGACCCTTGTCCAACATGGAGTTAGAGCTTCTTCCTGGCAGGGACATACAAACCAGGCACCATGACAGAGCCAGATTCTCAGTGGGAGCCAGAGACCCAGGGATGGGAGTGAGAAAAGGTTGGCGCTGGGGTCTCATCCCACAGAGAGCCTCTCTCAGCCACCATGTCCCATACCCGGCTGGAACTGCTCCCAAGCAGGGATGGGCCACGATGTTCACACATGGAGCCTCCCTTGTGAGCTGTAGCCCACGCCCAGGTGAGCAGTGAGAAGAGAAAGTCTCCCACGGTTTCTGCTGCCTCACTAGGTTTCTGCCGCCTCACTGGCTCACAAGGGACTGGGGTATAACATGAAAGGGAACAGGTTTGCAGTCACATTGCACCAGCTTCTTACCTCCTGGGGGTGGGGCACAGCCCTGAGATAGAACCTCGACCTCACACAGGGAGAGAGACTCCACCCTGCCAGGGATGACGATGGTGACATAACGACCCTCCAAGCCATTGCAGCAGATGGTGCTGACGGATCCAGGTCTGCTGTCAGTTATGGTCCCGCAGCTAAAGGAAAGAGCAGAAGCCAAGAAGACAGAATAAGTTAGATGTGTTCAAATGCCAACACCTACTGAAATTCACCCCCCAGCGCTTAGGGAAATAACAGAGTCCATCTCAGAACTATTCATGCTTTTATAGAGAACTCTCAAAGGATGCTTGAGGTCCCAGGGGACTATAAAAGGGCAAATATTGTTCCCTGTGACAAATTCTGGACCAATGAGCCCAACTTCCGTGCCTCATAAAACACTGAAATAAATGATCGAACAGTTTGAAAGCAGCGGGAGGAGAATACTGTGATATGCCACAACTGATACGCACAAATGAGAAGTCCAAATAGTAAAATGGGTAAACTAGAGTGCCTAGTTTTAAAGGAGGAGATTGATATAATAGGCATCACAGAAACTTGGTGGAACGAGGACAATCAAGGGGACACAGTCGTACAATATATATCGGAAGGTCAGAACAGGCCGTGCTGGTGGGGGAGTGGCACTATACATGAAAGAAAATGTAGAATCAACGAAGTAAAAATCTTAAAGGAACCAAAATGTTCCATAGGATCTCTATGGATAGAAATTCCAAGCTCCAATAATAAGAATATAGCTGTAGGGATATATTATCAAACACCTGATCAGGACAGTGATAGTGACTATGAAATGCTAAGGGAGATTAGAGAGGCTATCAAATTTAAAAAAAATCGATAGTAGTGGGGATTTCAACTATTCCCATATTGACTGAGTAGACGTCACCTCAGGAAAGGATGTAGAGATAAAATGTCTTGACACCTGAAATGACTGCTTCTTGGAGCAGCTGGTTCTGGAACTCACAAGGGGAGAGGCTATTCTTGATTTAGTCCTAAGTGGAGCACAGGATCTGGCTCAAGAGGTAAATATAACTGGACCGCTTGTAAACAGTGACCATAATATAATCAAATGTAACATCCCAACACTGTGGCATTTAGTTTCAGAAAGGGGAGCTACACAAAAATGAGGAAGTTAGTTAAATAGAAGTTAAAAGGTACAGTGACAAAAGTAAAATCTCTGCAAGCAGCATGGAAACTTTTCAAAGATACTATAATAGAGGCCCAACTTAAATATATACCCCAAGTTAAAAAAACACAGTAAGAGAACAAAAAAAGTGCCACCGTGGCTTAACAACGAGGTAAAAGAAGCAGGGACAGATAAAAAGACATCTTTTAAAAAGTGGAAGTCAAATCCTAGTGAGGAAAATAAAAAGGACCATCAACTTTGTCAAGTTAAGCGTAAAAATATAATAAGAAAATCCAAAAAGGAGTTTGAAGAACAACTAGCCAGAGGGAAGAAGTTCCAAAGGGGAGAGTTATAAGTGCCAAGCCCCTGTGGGGGAGCTGCCCCCAGCAGAAATCCCTCACCAGACAGTGGCAGGTGCTCCAGATCACACAGTAACACCATGAGGCTCTGGAGAGCAGCTGCCATGCTTTGCGCTCTGGTCTAGATTTACTTGGCCCTGACTCAGCATGGGGGGGGGAAGGAAGGGATGGCCCCTGGGGGTGGCTTCCTGACCCACCTTTCTGCGTATCGGCATGGGGAGAATGGACACTTTAAGAGATGCTGCCAGCCCAGCTGTTCCCCCCTCAGCCCCATTGAAACAGGGACCAGCTGGGTTCCCATTTCTATCAGCAAGGGCTGTTTCCCCTGAAGCTAATTACTGATGGACATGGTGGATTCTCCTTCCCCTGGAGACCTGGAGATGGGAAAGGTCCCTCCAGGCCTCAGGAGTCTCTGGAGCCAGGAACCCCAGTTCCTATTGGCTCAGGTGTGATGATTCTGCAGGAGGAACAGCTGTGAGGGCAGAGACAGAACAGGTGGGGCTGGAGAGCTCTCAGCTGTTCTGCATCATGCAGGGAGCTGGAGGGGAGGAGAAGGGTGCAGAGCAAGTATCATAGTGGGGGGGGAGGGGCTGAGCCTACCCAAGCAGCCTGGCATGGCCCTGCCCATGCTGTGCCCTCAGGGCTCCTGAGCACCCCGTCCCTTCCCACTGTTTGTATCTTAGATGCCTATATACAAATGCAAGAAGTATGGGTAATAAGCAGGAAGAACTGGAAGTGCTAATAAATAAATACAGCTGTGACTTTGGCATCACAGAGACTTGGTGGGATAATACACACGATTGGAATATTGGTATAGAAGGCTACAGCTTGCTCAGGAAGGACGGGTGGGGGAAAAAGGGAAGCGGTGTGGCCTTATATATTAAAAATGTACACGCTTGGACTGAGGTGGAGATGGACATAGGAGACAGAAGTGTTGAGAGTCTCTGGGTTAGTCTAAAAGCGATTAAAAACAAGGGTGATGTCATGATAGGGGTCTACTACAGCCCACCTACCCGAAAGAGGCTTTTTTTAAACAACTATCAAAATCATCCAAAGAGCAGGATTTGGTGGTGATGGGGGATTTCAACTATCCAGATATATGTTGGAAAACTAACACAGCGGAGCACAGACTATCCAATAAGTTCTTGGACTACATTGAAGACAACTTCTTATTTCAGAAGGTTGAAAAAGCTACTGGGGGAAAACTGTTCTAGACTTGATTTTAACAGATAGGGAGGAATGGGTTGAGAATTTGAAAGTGGAAGGCAGCTTGGGTGAAAGTGATCATGAAATCAGAGTTCATGATTCTAAGGAATGGTAGAAGGGAGAACGGCAAATTAGAGACAATGGATTTCAGGAAGGCAGATTTTGGTAAGCTCGGAGAACTGGTAGGTAAGGTCCCATGGGAAGCAAGACTAAAAGAAAAAACAACCGAAGAGAGTTAGCAGATTTTCAAAGGGACATTGTTAAAGGCCCAAAAGCAAGCTATTCCGCTGTGTCGGAAAGATAGAAAATATGGCAAAAGACCACCTTGGCTTAACCAGGAGATCTTGCATGATCTAAAAATAAAAAAAGAGTCATATAAAAAAATGGAAACTAGGACAAATAACAAAGGATGAATATAGGCAAACAATACAGGAATGCAGGAGCAAGATTAGAAAGGCAAAGGCACAAAACAAGCTCAAACTAGCTATAGGCATAAAGGGAATCAAGAAAACATTCTATAAATATATTAGAAGCAAGAGGAAGACCAAGGACAGGGTAGGTGCATTGCTCAGTGAGGAGAGGGAAACAGTAACAGGAAACTTGGAAATGGCAGAGATGGTTAATGACTTCTTTGTTTCGGTCTTCAGTGAGAAGTCTGAAGGAATGTCTAACATAGTGAATGCTAGTGGGAAGCGGGGAGGTTTAGAAGATAAAATAAAAGAATAAGTTAAAAATCACTTAGAAAAGTTAGATGTCTGCAAGTCAGCAGGGCCTGATGAAATGCACCCTAGAATACTCAAGGAGCTGATAGAGGAGGTATCTGAGCCTCTAGCTATCATCTTTGGAAAATCATGGAAGACAGGAGAGATTCCAGAAGATTGGAAGAGGGCAAATATAGTGCCTATCTCTAAAAAGGGAAATAAAAAACAACCCAGGAAAATACAGACCAGTCAGTTTAACTTCTGTGCCAGGAAAGATAATGGAGCAAGTAATTAAGGAAATCATCTGCAGAGTTGGAAGATAGTAAGGTGACAGGGAACAGCCAGCATGGATTTGTAAAGAACAAATCTTGTCAAACCAATCTGATAGCTTTCCTTGATAGGATATCGAGTCTTGTGGATAAGGGAGAAGCGGTGGAAGTGGTAATACCTAGACTTTAGTAAGGCGTTTGATACGGTCTCACATGATATTCTTATCAATAAACTAGGCAAATACAACTTAGATGGGGCTACTATAAGGTGGGTGCAGAATTGGCTGGATAACTGTTCCCAGAGAGTAGTTATTAACAGTTATTAACAGTTCACAATCCGGAACAAGTGGGGTTCTGCAGGAGTCTGTTTTGGGACCTGTTCTGTTCAATATCTTCATCAACAATTTAGATATCAGCATAGAGAGTACGCTTATTAAGTTTGCAGATGATACCAAGCTTGGAGGGGTTGCAACTTCTTTGGAGGATAGGGTCATAATTCAAAATGATCTGGACAAATTGGAGAAATGGTCTGAGCTAAACAGGTTGAAGATTAATGAGGACAAATGCAAAGTGCTCCACTTAGGAAGGAACAATCAGTTCACACATACAGAATGGGAAGCAGCTGTCTGGGAAGGAGTACGGCAGAAAGGGATCTAGGGGTTATAGTGGACCACAAACTAAATATGAGTCAGTGTGACACTGTTGCAAAAAAGCCAACATGATTCTGGGCTGCATTAACAGGTGTGTTGTGAGCAAGACACGAGGAGTCATTCTTCCGCTCTGCTCTGCGCTGGTTAGGCCTCAATTGGAGTATTGTGTCTAGTTCTGGGCACCGCATTTCAAGAAAGACGTGGAGAAATTGGAGAAGGTCCAGAGAAGAGCAACAAGAATGATTAAAGGTCTAGAGAACATGAGCTATGAGGCAAGGCTGAAGGAATTGGGCTTGTTTAGTTTGGAAAAGAGAAGATTGAGAGGGGACATGACAGCGATTTTCAGGTATCTAAAAGGGTGTCCCAAGGAGGAGGGAGAAAAATTGTTCTTCCTGGCCTCTGAGGATAGAACAAGAAGCAATGGGCTTAAACTGCAGCAAGGGAGGTTTAGGTTGGACATTAGGAAAAAGTTCCTGTCAGGGTGGTTAAAGACTGGAATAAATTGCCCAGGGAGGTTGTGGAATCCCCATCTCTGGAGATATTTAAGAGCAGGTTAGATAAATGTCTATCAGGCTGGTCTAGACAGTATTTGGTCCTGCCGTGAGGGCAGGGCACTGGACTCAATGACTCTCGAGGTCCCTTCCAGTCCTCGTATTCTATGATTCTATGTGACTTGGGGAGGCTGTGGCTGCTGGCTGCCCAGGACTCCGGGATTGGAGGCATTGAGGCTGGCAGATGAGGTTGGGGTGCTCTGGGCATCTGGGGAGGGGATTGAGAGAAGGGGGACCACAGGGAGAAGGGGAGGAGCCTGGGGCTAGCCTCCCCAAAAGCCACTTCACTTGCTTCCCATTAGGAGGATTGGGGTAGAAAGTTGGGGGAGGGGGGTACCTGTCCAGGGAAAGGGGAGAAATGGGGCAGGAAAGGAAGGCAGCAGGCAGGGGTGAAGTCAAAGAGGGGATGAGCCATAGGGTGGAAGGGGCGTCATGCTACCCTGGCAACTCAAAAAGATGGTGCCCCCCACTCATACTACAGCTCCGATTTGGGGTGTGTTTGTAAGCCAAATGGGTGGGGCTGTACCTCTCCCAGGCTTGGAAGGTACCAGGAATGGATATAAAGTGCCATGTGGCAGACTCCATCTTGGTCTTCAATTCTGCTCCTGATCCCACATGCAGCCTTGCGAGGAACAGAGAGACGGGAAGGATTGTCGCCCCGTCCTGACATAGCATGTACACGAGAGAATTTTAAGCCAGCAATTTGTAACATCTCTGCTGAGAGACACATCCAGAACTTGGTGACTGGTGCATGGAATATATTTGCCTTAACAACCTCACTCCTCTCATACTTTTTCTTTCTTTGTTTTTAAATAAACCTTTAGACTCAAGGGCTGTGTCTAGACTGGTAAGTTTTTCCACAAAATCATCTGATTTTGCGGAAAAACTTGCCAACTGTCTACACTGGCCGCTTGAATTTCCGGAAAAGCACTGATAATCTCATGTAAGATCGTCAGTGCTTTTCTGGAAATACTATGCTGCTCCCGTTCGGGAAAAGTCTTTTTCCGAAAGACTTTTGCGCAAAAGGGCCAGTGTAAACAGCACAGTACTGTTTTCCGCAAAAAAGCCCCGATCGTGAAAATGACGATTGGGGCTTTTTTGCAGAAAACCGCGTCTAGATTGGCCACGGACGCTTTTCCGCAAAAAGTGCTTTTGCGGAAAAGCGTCCTGCCAATCTAAACGTGCTTTTCCGAAAATGCTTTTAACGGAAAACTTTTCCGTTAAAAGCATTTTCAGAAAATAATGCCAGTCTAGACGTAGCCTAAAGGATTGGCCCACCGTGCTCTTGTGGGTAAGAAAAAGTGTAAATTGCCTGGGAATTTGTGGCTGGTTCTTTGGGACCAGGAGAACCCGTACAGGGTAGCTGAGAGTGGGTTCTATCACCCCTTACCTATGGATAAGGCCCGGAGCTGACTGTGGCACAGAGAGAGCTGGGGTATCTGAGGGGGTTTGCTCGTGAGGCTTCCTACTGGCCAGATTGGCAGCTGAAGCGCTCGGTGTGACTGGTGTGTGGCCTGTTTGGGAAGGTGTCCAGTCTGGGGCTGTAAGCAGCCCTGCTTTTGAGCAGTGCGCCCTGAGTGGACCCTCAGTGGTGCCCAGATCCGGACGATCACACCCTGCACCCCTGCAAAGCACTCAGCACCAGGCAGTTCGGAGGGGAAGAGGCCGCACCATGGCCCTGACTGGCAATGAACCCCAAGCTTTGAGTCTGAGCTGGGAGAACTCAGCTCACTGCAGACAGTGAGAAAGCGACTCACAGGGGGTTGTCCTTGCCATGATTGGCCAGGGAGTCTCCCACGCGGATCTGGGCCCCCTTGATTCTCTCCCCACAGCACTCGTCTCCCCTGTTCTTCACGATCACCACGGAGACGGAATACTGACTGCCCAAGTCCACGGTCCACCAGGGCTCTGTGTCGAAGCGGGTGTGGCTGCAGGAGCCTTGGTCATAACGCCCTTCACTGTTTCCATCCACGGCCCTGCCAGGCTCGGCTCGGCCAGTGACGTCTTCGTGCGTGGACGACTGATTGGCCGGACGCCCCAGCGCCACCCAGGCTCGGCTTTTGCAGTCCCATTGTTGTACGTGGACGACTGGTTGGCCGGACGTCCCAGCGCCAAGTTCTGAGCTGGAATCAGAGGGTGAGAGGAGGGGAGGTGGGACGTGCCCGTTGCCGGGGGAGGAGGGGCCTCTAGAAGCCCTTTCTCCCACACAGACCAGAGCCATTTCCTGAGGGTGACACACAAACCAGGCACCACGTGCGAGCCAGCTTCACAGTAGGAACTTGGGCCCTAAGGACAGGAACGACAGCAGGGTGGTGCTGATGTTCACATGCAGCCCCTCCCACCTACCCCTGCCAGCTGCAGCCCACACCCAGGGGAGCGGTGGGAAGGGGCGATGCTCCCAGGGTTTCTGCTGTCTCGCTAGGCAGCAGCTGTCACAGAAGGGACTGGGGTAAAGCATGAAAGGGAACAGGTCTCCATTCACATTGCTCTAGTTCCTTACCCCCTAGTGGTGGGATACAGCCCTGAGATAGAACCTCGACCTCACACAGGGTCAGAAACTCCTCCCTGCCCGGGATGACGATGGTGACGTAGCGGCCCTCCAGCCGGTTGCAGCAGATGGTGCTGAGGGATCCGGCAGTGGGGTCGGTGATGGTCCCGCAGCTAAAGGAAAGTGCAGACGCCCCCGGGGCAGTTGCCTTCCTGGGCCCCCTGTCAGCAGCCCGGGGCAAACGTCACTCGGGGATGTCGTCAGGGCAGAGTTGTGTGTAAGACGTGGGCAGTAACTGACCCACTTTACTTGGCCCTGGGGAGGGCTCAGCTGGAGCACCGTGTCCTGCTTCCCACCCCGCACTTCAAGAAAAGATGTGGAAATTGGGAGAGACGCTAATGGGCAGCAACTGAAATGACAAGCTGCCTCAGGGCACAGGCTGAAAGACCTGGGCAGGTGTAGTCAGGAGGAGAAGGCTGATGGGGGCAGGATAACAGTCTTCAGACAGGCCACAGGGTGGTCACAGGGCAGCAGGCCCCTCAGGAGGTCGGGCACCCAGTCTCCTCGTGACAGGCTCCCCTAAGGCGAAGGGGCCAACTCAGCTCCACCGGGTGCAGTTAATTCCCTGAGTGACTGGGAGCTGCCAATTAGCTAGGTGGCTCCTGGCACTAGGGCAGGGCTGTGGGGCTCAGTCGCATGCACCGATCACAGAGGAAGCTCCTAGCACTGCAGGGCTCAGGGCAGCTGCTCAGGGAGTGCCCCAGGAAATTCAACCTAGGAGAGGTGTTCAGGAGGGAAGAGGCTCCAAAGGGGGGAGCTACGAGTGCCAAGCCCCTAAGGGGGAGCTGCTCCCCGCAGAAATCCCTCCCCAGACAGTGGCAGGGGCGCCCCCTCCCACAACAAACCCAAGACGCGCCG